ATTTAGAATCACTTTCTCGTTAGTCGGCTTCTTAACAGACTTTATAAACTTCCACGCCTCAGTGCATTGTCGTCCTCCAATATAAGATTCTATCTCTCTGCACCTTCTGTCCCATGTCTCATTTTTGGAGGTCATAATTATCTTTCTAGCTTTCTTCTTCATTTCATTGTATCGGTCTTTGTCTGCGTCATCTTTTGTATTCAACCACTTATGGTATAATCTTTTCTTTTCTGTTACCGCATTTTCGACGTCTTCATTCCAGCAAAGCTTGTTACTAATTTTATTTTGTTTGATTCCTAAGACCTCCTGTGCTGTTTGATGAATACTTGATATTATGTTCTCATATATGCATTTGGTATTTGTTAGTGTTTCGTCAAGTTTGGTGTCCATTCGAGTCTTATATAGTGTACGGGTGCTCTCATGAATTGAATTAAACTGGACAGATTGTATTGAGGAAGATCAATTCTTTCTAAAAGTTGTTCGTCTTGGCTTGATGAGACACTGTCCTTTAATCTATATGGGAAAACAATTTTTGCCCTGACCATGTGGTGATCTGATCCGCATACTGCTCCTCTCATAGCTCTAATATCTCTAATGAGGGCACTATAGTTGAGGATATTGAGAGAAAACAGCTCATATGGTATGGACATGTGAGCCGAATGGGGGACGAAAGATTGCCTAAAAAAACGATGATGTGGCAACCCCCAGAGAAGAGGAAACGAGGAAGACCACCACAGAGCTGGAACCTGGGAGTTAGGAAAGCGATTAGCGCTCGAAATCTGGACGAAGACCTAACTCAAGACCGAATACAGTGGCGGTTGGGAGTCGGACAACGTCGTAAGACGTTCTAAAACCGAATGTATATATATACGAAGAAGATATAACTATCAAAAAGATCTGCAAATCGGATTATTACACGGCGATTGGCAACATAGCAGCAGCTGTTTTAGCGTATGTGCTTTAACTGCTAAAACAGCCTTAAGCTAAATACAATAGTATCATTGAGAAACATTGATTCTGTTCTCTAATTCTTTCTCAAAATTCAGCAGACTTTGGGATGTTAAGATTAAAAACGTGAAAAGTGCACCTGGAACCCAAAACGGTTGGGGTCTGTCAGGATCCTTGTTGCAGGTATCGATTGAAGGGATTCATTTAATTTCACCAAATCATGCTAAAGTGTACTATTCAGTGCCATTAAAAGGTACACCGAGTCTAGGAAAAAAATACAAAAAAAAAATTGAAAAAATTAAGCAGTTTCATCTAGGGTCGATTGTTCGAACACTAATCAAAACGTGATTGTAATCAAATATTTAATTACAATTAAATACGTCACAGCAGCTGTCAAAATTAATAAAAATTGCTTAATATTATTGATTTGTAAATAAAAACATGAAATTAACAGGGCCTTATTTAAGGCCTACTGTAAATTTGAAAATTTGCGATTTTTTTCCAGTAGGCTGGATTGCAAAATTATTATGCAAAACCTATCCGACCGATCTTAACAAAATTTAGCACACGTTTTAAACATATTAAAAAGTTTTTCTAGGCGGAATATGGAGCTTGTAAGTCAAGTTTAGAAAGTTGAAAACATTTAAAGGATTAACTTCATTTTTTTGTACTTTTTTTTTTCCAATTATTGCTATTTTTTCAACAATAAACATCAAATTTTCAATTTCTAGCTAACAAAATATTGTGTAAAATTGAATAACAAAACTTTTAACTTCTTATAATTTTTTCTCTAGGATCAATATTTTCCGAATTATAAACGAAAATAGGAGCAAAAAAATGATAAATTTTCAATTGTTTTCAGATTTTGTTAAATAAAAAATTTAGCACAGGGTTTGCGACTGGCGCATATCGTGATTATCGATATTGGACACATCCTGAAGGGATTCCAGCGAAAACATAGCATCCTATGGAAAATTTCCATTATGGTCTTAATTTATATAATCTATATTAATAGTCTATTAATAGTTCATTTGATCAACACAAATATCTGCTAACTTTTGATAACCATTTTTTTGAAAACTTGAACTAATTTTTCAATTAGTTATATTTACAATTAGAGCTACTTTTTTTCGATAGACCAATCTTCAATATTAACAATAAAATACTAAAACTCAAAATTTACACTGTGACTCATGCCCCGACTTACAGAGTGATACGAACATTATTGATTGATTATTTTTGGCGGCAAATTTTAGTATAATTGCAAATAACGTACATAGATTTTTTACCAAAGTAATTAGGAAAGTGAATATACATTATTAAAAATGGAATTTCCATATTCTGCACTTATGAAATGAAAATCAAACGAAAATACCGTAGTCTTAAACAACAACACAACATTTCTCATATTGAGAAAATAGGTGTATGATTTCCCAACCTGCGCCTAGCTTCTTAGAGTTGGTCCTTATGTCTAGTCAATTTTCTCTGCTCTTTTAGTCGCCTCAAGTCGTGTAAAAGGGTAAAATTTTGGGGGAAATACCTGATTTAATTTGTTTATGAAGTTTTGTAAATTATTTTGCAGGGTAGTATTAACTATTTTTAATTTAGATCATTTCTATATAATTTAGATGTGTTCTAAAACGGGGATGCACAGACCGCGCTCATTACTCGTCTTTCAGAGATCCGCAAATATTTTCGAGGTTATATTTATTCGTTAGGTTATTTATACATAAACATCAAAGCCCAAATGGAGCAAATGTCAATTATGGTCATGTTTCATCTGCCAAGTATGCGCAAATCTGTCTGATTAGTAGATGACACTTAAACTAAGCAGTAAATAGTACTTCTCAGATATGCCACTGCATAAATGCAGAGATTTCACTAGTTTGGCCGGCGAAAGCGAAAAATATTTCATCGCATAGGTGTCTGTCTGCAACCTATTAACTCACCTCTCTAATTTAACACGTTGACTGCCAAGTGAGACCAAAATAGTCTCATACATTGTTCTGAAGAATATATTGAGCCTACAAGTATATTTGCTAAATTAATCCGCATACATCTCATTAATTGCCTTTACAACTAATGCTATAATAAACACTTTGCCTTTTATTCATAATATAGTGTAAAAACTTGCGCTAGCCTTGAAACGGAACCAATTAAAAGCTTTCTGTGAGGGTAGTTTTATCTTACGTTTTTTTTGTTAATATGTCTAAAAGAAATAGTAGTTTTTGTAATACGAGGTAAGCCCCAAAGATCGTAGAGTCAAATCGCTTGTGCTATCGTGATCACTTTCGTTTGATTCGTGTATCTAGAATAGTTTTTGAATCGGCATTTTCAGTTTTATTTTATTTTGAATACGAAACAATTGCAAGGTGCTACGTCTGGACTGTATAGCGTTATTGTTTTGTTTTGTCAAGAACTGTTGCACAAGATTCGATGAATGTGATGGCGCATATCCTGACGGAAGTCAAAAGTTGCCGCTCAACCAAAAATGGGACAGTTTTCTTCCCACTACGTCATGAGATTCTTTTAGAGCTTTTATTTATTAATTGTTTGACCTCATGGTATACAACACATTCATAATCCAAAATGGATGCTTGGAAGACCCTTTTTGCGATAATAGTCGTAAGCCCTCACCTCTTCAGCGATAACGAACTCATAAGCATATTTTCATCATTAACGATGATTTCCAAGTTGACCAAAGCGACTTCTTTTTTGCTATGCTAGGACAATTTTGGAGGAATTTGAAACACTCGAGTCTCGTGTCATTCCCAAATTGGCTTATTTTTATGTGTTCCTAACCCATTCTTGACCCATTAGTTTGTAGGAATGAATATTCACTCCCCAGAGCCCAGCATCACGAGAAAAGGTTCCTGAAACCTGGGTGTCGCCTGGTATCAGGAGTTGTGCTATAAATAGCTTCCATTCTGTTATGAAACGTATCAGAATTAGCCACCACGACCAAGCGTGGGCATAAACGGTTAAAAAAAGTTTCCAAAGGTCTGTGCATTCCTGTTCTAAGATATAAATCATTATTTCTACTATAATTGTTATAGTATTTCTGATATATTGTAAATGTCTCAAATGCAGTAATAATGGTATAAGATCCCACTGCAGAATCGCTTCATAAAGTAATTCATCAAACTTCCATTTTTACATACATTTAAAATTAGGAGAATACGTTGATAATAGGTTGGCAGTCAAAAAGTGGCCGCAAATAGTTTTAATTCAATTAATAGTATTTTTTTTGACAAATATGTTATTTCGTTCATTTATTTTTTAAATAAAATACGCTGCTCATGACGTACTTTAAACCAGTAGCTTTGCGCGCTGGCTATATTTTACTTTATCCGTGATACCTCACGTTTTTAACAGCTGGAAATCCTAATTTTGGACCATTTTTTCGCAGGCAAACATAAATCATTAAGAAAAAACTTTAATTTGACATAAAAACATGCATATACGTCATAAACAGTGTATTTTATTTAAAAAATAAATTAACGAAATAAAATTTTTGTCAAAAATTAATTATTATTAACTGAATTAAAAATACTTGCGGCCATTTTTTGACTGGCAACCTATTATCAATGTGTTTTCTTAATTCTAAATGTATGTAAAAATGTGAGTTTGGTTAACTATGTTATGAACCATGTAGTGGGATCTTAGGCTATAAGTTTAAATTGTTAATATGTAAAATTGCATTTAATGTTTTGTTCTATGGATATATGAACATTTTACTACTAATACATCAAAACCGACAAGTAAAGGTAATTAAAATACAGTGATGTGCAAAACTAGAAAGCGAAGACCAATGTTTAGAGTACAACTTGGAAACGATTGTAGGAGTGTAAACATTTTTCTGTAACGTCAAAGGAAATGTAAATGGTACAGATTGGTATATTGGATTTATTCGTTTATTATTTTTACAAATGATCAATACAAATATTTTATGTTCATAGATCACAATTTTCCTAAATATCCGCCTGATAATACATTAGTATAGCTCTTTGTAATAATGATAAACCAGAATACAGTATTAGTTTTTTGGTTAGGTTGTAGATGGCGCCATACCAGACTCCATAAGGAACTGAATAAATCAGCAATTAATTGTTGTCATTTGCGACTCCTGTTTGCTAAGAAACGTCTAATAATTTTTGCAGATGCTTGGTTGGCTTTCCAAATATTAACTTTTTTTTTTCGAAATATTCCATAATTAAATCACTGCAAAAACGGCGCGCTGCTCCTACATTTTCTAATATTTCACATACTCCTAATTAAAGTAAATTCATAAAACAACGTTTAACCACAGAATAATAAACAATCAGAATGCGCACTCTCATATGCCGCCTTTAAGTTTTTCAGCACGCGATCACCATGTTTTAGATTAGAAGGAAACACAGAACACAGACTCGGATTGAGAATCACATTTGGTGTAATGGGTCTTTATCGACCATCGAGTTAGAATCTATGGAGAGGGCATCACGTGACTAAAAACGAACTCACTTCGGCCATATTGTTAAGATTGTTTTGACACTTTTGACAGATCGTATATGTTTGTTTACGTTTGTTGTTTTTCGAATATTTTATAGTTTTTAATACTTTTATAGAAACTGTAATAATATATTGTGATAGTGCATATTAATGGTTTCTTGTTCTCAACGTAATTGCAGTAGCAGAAGCAATGGTAATAAAAAATCTTCAGGAATATCGTTCCACAGGTTAGTATACAAATATGTAAACAAAGTAATGGCCCGTACTTCAAAGAATAAATTAATAGTATTTGACTGTATTAATTTATCTTTATGTATAATATATCATGTTTTTAGTGTTTACCGCGGAATAAATAAATACAAAATAGTTTATTAAAAATGTATTGCACTTTTTTAGATTATGATTAAATCTTCTGAATAACTAGTCATATTTTTATTGTAGTTTCGTTTGTTTTCTGCCGGCCCTGATACCACCGCCATATTTTAACATCGTAAGCCACGCCTACCTACGCCGTTTTTAATACACACGTTAATATACTTCATCTAATTTACTTACCGTTGGACGTCATTATCATTGACAGAGATTGAAGTTGACATAGTTGCCAAAGTATAAAAAAATCCTGACTCCAGTGTAAATCGAATAGGTCACATAATTATTGCAAAAGTATTACCATCTCTTTACAACGACTATTTAAATTCTTACGTGACATTTTTGAAATAATCCACTTTAATTTTGTTCTAAAAAGAACAGATTTTATTAAATAAGTAAAAATATAAAACAGAGGTATTCACTTTAAAATTCAAAATAATAAAGTACAAAAAGTGTCAACACCGCAACAGTCAAACAGCGATGCCAACAAACAAAACATAATGTCCCTTATAAAACAGGCAGTTACCTTTATTCAGAGTAAAATTCTCTTTATATTTCAAATATTTGAAACGTTTCACGATTTTTTAACTTTTTATGAAGTTTTGTTGCAATTGACCTCGACTTTTGCTCTACACCCCATTTTACGGTACCTTGAAAACTTACCTTCTTACTTTTAAAAGTTTTTTTGGGTTTTTAATGCTGCATGAAAGTCTTCTAAATGCCGCTTCTAAATTATTCCATTGTGTTAATATAAAACCAAGGTTTCGTGAAGAGCATATTTTCCTTCCTTCTGAAACTTTAGCCAGTAACTCATAAACTTCATATATAAACAAGTTCCACGTATAAAGAATTTTTTAGCGTATATATTTTCACTTGAAAGTGAAAACCCCACAGCGTTGCCAAAACATCAGAACAGTTAGTAACTGAGGAATTTTTAAAATGTCAACTATTTGTCAAACTATTATATTAACAGTAAATACACTTAGTTTTAAGACTACTGCATCACATTAAAATACACAGGAAAACATTTTAATACAAAATTATATATTCTAAATTTTAAACTTACCTCTCTTAGGGCTTTAATAGTAAAAACGTCCCGCCATTATTTCTTGTTCAAAATAATCTACCTTACATGAAAGCTTTCTACAGACTATTTATTTGTTTTGGCATATCACAATCACCATACACAACAATAATTAGTTTTTAAAGCTATTAATCTGAATTTAATATGTATTTATAAATACAATTTATTAATATATATTATATTATGATCAAATTGTGTAAGAAATCAAAACATAAACAGAATTTCTACTCTAAAAAAGCGGCAACACTTAATACACTTTTGCCACCCGCTGAACTGTCAATAATATTTGAAGTATTTCCGTATCAGTTGCGTACAATTGTCTAATATATTTAATTAAAATTATTATTATGTGGAATATTAGACTTGAAAGAGTTATTTCATAAAATTTGTATTATTAATAATAACAAATGTTTTTGGTTATTTAATCAATATAATTCTAAAATTTCCAATATAATGATGATTACATTTTTCTGATTATTCCACCATGTTGACGCCTATGAAAGATCGAGCAGTTCCGTATGGGTTTCGTATTATTAGCTGTGTTAGGAAAATTTTAACTCTAAAGTTGATGTTTTGGAAATTTTAAATACAAGTGACGTCACTTTGTCGAAATCGTGACGTGCATATGTTTTACTTTGAAAAATATTATAGTCAACTGGCCTTGTCCATACCACTGTTTTATCGACACACTAAAATGATACATGTCCTTGTAATAGATAGCGGTTTTTAGATTCTATAGGTACGATTAACTAAATAGCTATTTAAAAAACTTTCATATCTTTGTAAAAAACATGATTATTTTGTGGGTTTATATATCACTTTTTTCTCACAAACATAACTGATAATGTGAATGATGTATTATGAGGTAACAGTATTTGTAAAAATATAAGAAATTAGAATAAAATTCATATACTGTCTGGTTAATAATAATTTCTGAATGTTATTATAATTTTGAATTTATCTTCATATTTAAATAAAAAAAAAACAGTACAAAAAGACCCAAAATTTACTCTTTACAATTTTTTAAATTTATTTATTAAGCTTAGTTAAATTTTATTGAATTTGTATCGTCAGAGAAATCCTCCCTACAGAATTTTTAATTTATTCGTTGAAACTTCACTTTTGATTTTGGGGTAAGAGAAATTGGGAGCTGCAATTAAATTTGTTAATTATTTCAATGTACATACATTGTGGAACACCCAAACGGAATAACTTTCGTTATTTTTATCGTAGTGCATATTCAAAATCTCAAAACACGAGTCAATTTTATATTTTCAAATTACATTCGGTTGCTTAAGAATGTTATCCCTACATTTAATACTCTTAGTGTCAGAAAAAATTAACAGTAAACCCAGACAAACAGAGGATAAGTACATAAAAATAAAACACTGAAAACTTTGTTTTCAAACTTCCACAAAATTTATATTAAATATTATCACTACAGCTGTTTCGGCTGATTGCCTTTCTCAAATGATCTATTTTTGGCTTGGGTTTACAAATTTATAGTCTCTAATGAAATAGGTTGAGGAGGGGAGAACTGTTTGTCTCAAGTTGGTCATTCAGAATTATATCTGTGTTTTTTAATTTGTTGATTTCCATAGATTCTAACAAAGATAGCTTAAGGCCTTTATTTTGAATGTGAAGAATTTTAAATTTGTCATTAAAAGAATGATTATGATCTAGAAGGTGAAGTGCGTATGTCGAATCTGTTTTTTCTATTCTTGGAAGCCCTTTTATGTTCTGCTATTCGTTTATCACAGTTTCTACCAGTTTGACCGATGTAAGTTTTTGAGCAGTCGCCACATTGAAGTTTGTACACACCACTATTTAAGTGTTTTAAGTTGAAAAACTCGTAAAGCGGGGAAACAACGTTAATCCACAAGGACAACAAAACACTAGACACATTTAAAGAAAGGTACAGTTTTTTTTTTTCGGTATCTACATTTTACAAGATTTTTGAACAAACCTTTTAATTCTGCTCAGCGAATTCCGCTCGATGGTTGTTAAGTTTATAGAAGAAAATAAGAAATTTTGGAAACAATATCTAATTTCAAAACATAAAATTGAAACGCTACTGAAATAACGAATTTATTCCATTTGGTTGTTCCACACTGTATATTCATGTACGAAAAGGTGTAAAGAATCCATTTATTGTATGTATTATATTTTATTATCATACTAGAATAATCTACGTGTCCAATTTGCAAGAAATGTACGAATACTATGGCGACAAAAGTTTGGTAGTCCAGTAGATTTGTTATTGTTTGAATTTTGATTTGGTTTTAGAAGCGTCGGTGAGATGCAAAATGTATTAAGGGGACATTTTCCTTTGAAATTGAAAAAAAAACACTTTTTAACAATTTTATTATGAAAAAACTATTATATTTATTGACAAAATTCCTTTTGGACATAGTTAAAGAGTCTCTGAAGAATAGAAAATTTTTTTTCATTTTTAGTTTTCCTTGTCTGCTGTAGAGGGCGCCATCCAGATATCTTTTAAACGGTAGCACATATTGTAGACCTCCTGTAACAGATTTTTGAAAAATTCAAAATGGATTATATTCGTGAGACCCAAAACTATACAATAACTCATACTTTTTCATATTTTGAACCTTTTGTTTATATATTTCTGGTATATTTGGTTTGTATATTAGGCATTCCAATGCTCTTTGGTATTTTAAAATCGGTCAAGTAAATCCGGAGAAAAATGTCCTACCAGTTTGAAAAAGGTAGTTTCGAGAAAAATGCGTTAAAAGTTTTTATACCAAAATTTTAGGTGGAAAACTTTTTTTTACCTTTAATCGGCCATTCCTGGTAAATATTGAGGACCCTCGTTGTCTAATAATTGCTGTAAGTGACTGACCAAAGCTTTTTTCTTCTGAATTCGACCTTCTTTTGAGTTCTCACTCCTCCTATTGGCTTGAGAAATACGGTCCTCGTCAACTTTTTGCGTAAAAGCCGTTGCAGTTTCGCCAATTTTGATGCCCATAAGATCCATAATAGTTAGGTAAATTCTCGAGCCTTCGTTGAAGATAGATGCTGCGATTCACGATGCAATTTCAGTTACATTTTTGCCAGAAAACTTGCTTTTCGGAGAAATATTCCAAATTAAATTATTGTAACTTTCGTTACTATTTTGCCCCACTA